TAAGTTTGTGTTGCACGATCTATATACAAGTATTAAATATGTACCTATCCTATACTCTATACTTATATTTATTATCCGTAGCCTACAGCATACCATGCATATTGCATTCTCATTTATGTTCTCGGAATCGTATAGGTACTATCTTAAGGCCAAGGACATAGTGTGTGATTTGAACCTTCCCCCGAATACAAATCATTACAGAATACAGTATAGCCTAAAATATAAAAAATAAGTAATAGAACTTAACAAATTGATCATTTATACAATTATTACAAGTACTACCAGGTTAAAAGTATAAACAGGTACTGCAACAGATGTATTTTGTTCTTATTATTAACTTACATGGTCTACGCTACAAAATGTTAAAATTAGTATTTTATATCTTTAAGTCCCTTACAAACCCTTTTTTTTAAATCCCTAATTAAGTCAATTTATGTTTTGTTATAGTTGATAATTAAAGAGTATAGATGATGAAAAATGATAAATTGTATATTAATATTTGAAATTTTAACACTAGCTGACATGGACAGTGGACAGATAAAATATAATTTATATTCGTGTTAATTTATTTAATTATTCATATTTTGTTGCCATTATTATTATTTTGTTTTACTTTAGTTTTTAGTGACTACATTATATATAGAAATAAAAGTTCAAGGCCTTTTAACCATCTTATTAACATACTCAAGACTATTTTTTTGAGGTTTGGCATTTTAATGTGGACGGTGGACCACGTGTCTGGTATCATCTTCTGACTGTTTTAAACACAACGTGTATTTCATAATATAGGCATTATATTAGTTTAAAATTATAGCCTCAGGTCTTTAAAGATTATTATAGAACATGGTACTTATCTTTATATAATGGTTTTATTTCAAGACTAATCAGTCAAGGCATATCAGTCATAAAAACACTGTTTAATTACTTTAAAAAAAAAATGTTTTTTTAAATTATTATTAATGTCATAAATTACAAATAATAAATATAATTAAACAGTATTTGCATATAATACGATTAAAACATACATTAATTAAGTTGGTTATAACTAATTAATATTCACCCAGTAGTTTTTTGATTTTATCGTGCAATTCCAGATAAAAATTTGTCGAAATTAAATCTTCGTCAATTGAAATTTTTGAAGGGAACTTTAATAATCAATATTCGAATAAAAAAAAAACTAATAACATTTTTTATAGGATGTTGGGGAGTTGATTAATTTCAACATCTTTTATTTTGGTAAATAGTGTGATATGTACCGCGTAATGACACAGTAAAGACTTTTTTTTGTTTTTACAGTATAATAAGAATAATATTTTATTTTTAGTTAGTTTAATCGCTGTACAACTTTCTATAAAAAAAATCAAAGTATTTAAACTCTAATATACATAACATAACCTTCTTATCTATCTATTTCCAAAACGCTTACATGTTTATTTATGTTATATTATGTTGAAATAAATTTTAATAGGTACTAAAACTCGTTGTTTTATTTTTAAAAACCCACTATATTAGGTTGTATAATAAAACTCGCATTTAAATGACTAAGTTTGATTTATTTATACTGCACATAATACAAGTTATGACCATACAAATATACAATAATTACTTGCATACTTAAACAACCCTGCAGGGTTGTTTAGTATTATTTAAATTACTACTAATAATATTAATGCTACGCAATTAGACTTATGTATAGAGTGTACATAGTGATTTGTTTTGACGGATTATATAATATAGACGATTTCAAATAAATGTTTAAAGAACATTGCCTTGACAAACATCGCTTTACTGTGTACCTAGGTATTAAAAAGAGCAACGTTCGGTTATTTCCAATAGTGATTATACAATAAAATTTGATGAAAATTGAAGGTGCTATAAACGGGAACGGGTTTTTCTTGTGTTAGAAGTAGTCTTTTTCTTTGGATTTTCGATTATAACGATGGATTATAATAAATCAATTAATCGTTAAACGTATAGGTCATCCGAGTTAGATTTTCTAATATTATTAATTATTATGTTAATATGTACATTTAAAGACCTCGTTTCGTTTTATTCACCTATCGTACTTACGAATAGTCACGGCATCCGTACGAAGTGCATTGATATGTTTACTGCTCTTGTTTATAAAAATCAATAAATACCTTTTATACAAAGAACAATTAATTATGTTTTTTTTTGTTCAACAGCCGGCGACGTATTTATATTTAATGTTCATAAATACTCCTATTTTGAAATCTAACTTAAAAATCAATAAAAAATAATTAACTTTAAATTGAATACTATTCAACAGCTATCAACTGAATAGTTAAAACAGTAAATTTAAATTTCAAACTCGAATACGTGTAAACAAATGAGTTTTTTGGTATTAATTAAATACAATGTAAATGGTAATTAAATAATATAAAATATTAATAACGTTAAATAGTAATTTATCTGAAGTAAAAACTTACATGACCTATTGACAAATTACAGTTATAGATTATTCAATATAAATTAATTATACGATAGGCTGCGAACTTCAACGTAAATAGTTATGTTTTATTAAATTTTTTATACGTAAATGTTACGTAAATTCAACTTACGTAAACATAAATAACTTAGTCCAAATAATAATACTAAGTAGTATTTAATTTTCAAGACATCTGTCTATAAACAGCTATAGACGGTATGTATAGTTTATAAAACAAAATAAAGTAGCACAATTAGATAATATGTAGCTAATATAATTTTTAAGAATGTTGTACCTATAAAATAAGGTTTATAGCTTATAGACCTTTTAAATATCGGTTGTAATCATTATTGAGCAACAAATACAATAATAAAAATAATTATTGTTTTGATCTGTTTATGAAATGTTTATAGCTTTAATTTTTTACTAAAACTTAACATTAAGCTAAACATTTTAAACGTTCATATTACTATAGGAAAGAAGGATCTATTTTGATATTTCATTTTTTTTTTTACTTTTACAACGCAAAATAGATTATCTATATTTGTACAAAGTTGTTTTAATTTTTTACCACTATTGATGCCTTCAAAATGTCAGGAAAAATTCAAATATTTTTTCAAAACTTAAATCGGAGTATTCTTAGGAATAGTTTCGTTTGAAGTAAAATTAGTAGTTTTTTACCAAAAATACGCAGGTGTAGAAGCTCCTTAACGATAAAATAAAATATCAGTACAGATAAAATATTGAATTCATGGATTAGCCATTATAATAATTATTATTATAAACTAACGTGTATGTGCAATTAAATCCGTCAGATATTATTTCATGATTAACACACAACAGACGCAGGGTTTATCCTGACGTGGAACTCCAACTTTGTCTTGTGTTTGCGGGCAAACTTCTTAACTTCTTCTGCTACTATAGGTAATAATAAAAAAAATATATATAATACAATATAATTGTTATAGAATTTGTATAATTTTAAAAATTTTAAATTATTGTTATACTCACTGAAAACTATGTTATGTCGCAAAACAATTAGTGTCATTCGCAACTCCCTGTATTTTTTATAATGTTTAAAATGTTTAAAATGTATAACTTTTTATTTTTTTATTAAACCCGAATTATAACACAATCTGTAAACAATTTTTCTAATTAAGTAGTAGAGCTATGGTGTTACTTCATGAATTTATAACTATTTAATTTATTAAATGGTTATTTGTTTTTTGTTATATGCCATAAACATACTAGAAGTGAGAACGCCTGATGTCTACAGCTTATGCAATATAACATACATAATACATATTATGATATATATAATTAACGACATTGTTTTCATATCCGGTTATTAAAAAAAAAGTACAAAATGTTAATGAATTCTCTAATAGTACTAGAAAATTAGGAAGCTAATGAGAAGTTATCGTTATCTTCACGGCAACATATTACAGAAAGCCAATAGCGAAATGTTATAGACTAGGAAAAGTGTTAACTTTTTACAAAATACATTTATGCCAGATATAGGTATTATGATATAATATTTTTTATTAAAATCGAAAAACATCCCTTTATGGTACATGATTTCATACAGCAGTTATCGTAGCTCAATAATAATAAAAAACTTGAGCAATCATTATTAACATTATTAACATCATTATACTAATAGAATATTCTTGTATTAGTTTATCAATTAATCAAAAACGTAAGTAGAAATTTGGGGTTTATTTTAAAATATATTAAGATTAATAATAAAATATATTATGTAAGTTTACAGTTAGACCAAAAGAATAAATTGTCTCAAAAAGTCTATCACCGTGTTCACACATTTAAATTATGTTTTTTTCCCCTATCCTAATCTTTAAATTTTAAAATATGAGTAGTGGCGCAATAGCTTTATAATTGTATGGGGAGGGGGGAGGGAGCTTAGTCCTTTGCAGAATACAAAAACTTAATCGTAGGGTACAATGAAATTGAAAAATAATATATAACAATGAAGAAAATTAGTTAAGAACTTGAAGATCAGACACCATAATGACATTATTATGATAATGTCTTGAAAAAAATATTCATACTCTTCATTACCGTGTCTGTATTTATTAATAAAGTACTCAAAAGTTTATTGACAAAATTTGAGCGCCAACAATTTGAATAATAATAAAACTACCTACTTAAGTTTTCTTAAACGAAATACAGTTTAGAGCTGTCAACTGCTCGATTTAGGTTAGAATATTTTGTACTTCGTACTCATGGACAGCCGCGGTGCCGCCGCTTTTGGCGGACAAAAATAATTGAATGTAGCCGCCAACCGACGGTGTTCATAACCTCTTTGACAAAAACCAGTGGTGACGGCGCACGACCGGTCGCCGTCGGCTTTCGGTCGTAGACACTAGACAGCTGCCGTCGTATTGTTGTTTGGCCGTGTCCCGCGAACGGGTCAGCCTGGCCATTTTGGATTTCCGACAAACCAACGTCGACGGCCCGGTCGCATAGTATACGGTATACACACACACTCATACAGTGTATACACATTGCACATTATATTATAGTGAACGCTCGCGCGCACGCACGCACGCATTGTTCCGCCGTCGACCGCGACTCCTCCGTGTGTACGGTATTTTTAGTTGATTACCGAAAAACAAAGTATACGAATTATTATTATTTTCCTTTTAGATCTTCCGCCGGGGACTCGTCGTGAGAAGTCGAAACACGCTTTGGAACGTCCCCGCTCTGCCGACCGATCACATAAACGTCAGACGTACACGCGCTATAAAAAAAAAAAACCCGCACACCGCAAGTCTCGCGTACCCGACATCGCCGCCGTTCGACTCAACAGCAGTTCGTGTCGTCGTTGCCGTTTATTATCAACAAAAAAAAAATAACTCGAACCGCCGTCACCGCCCAACAACAGCAAAGGTTTTTTTTAAATAATTCGCTATCCTACGCCGATCATGCCAACAGCGTTGTTATACAGCTGAGCCGCCGCCGCCGTCGTCGGAAAATGTTATAGCAGGTACCTACGTGGGCTTAGAACATATTATAATATAATAATAACAACGCATACTTGGATATTGTGCACATGATACATTACTAATGTATACACGCGTACGTTGCGTATAGTTTTACCTACCTTTGTAATATCAATTTTTTTTTTTTTTTTAAATGTTTTTCGATTTTGATGCGCTAAGGTGTCGGAGGTAGTAGTATCTATTATCAACGTTGTCGCGGGTCATTAAGCGCTTCCCCCGACGGCCAAACTGTACGAATCGTCAAAACACGGGTCTCAATCTCTGCCGCCGCCCGCTGTTTTTTTGCTCGCACACACCACACACGGTACAAGTAAAATCATGTCGTCGTCCTGACATATCGCGACCATCGTAAACGTGCCGCCCCCGTGGGCCTTCTATGCGACACCAACCGCTCTTTGCCCGCCGTTGGCCCTCGGTCCATCACTTGTACCCCTCGTGTTTTATAACTGCATCTTCCCCGGACTTCCGCCGCCGCGGTCGCCGCCTGCACGGCCGTTTTTCTAGTATCAAAGGTAAACACGCCGAACGAAATGCTTATAATATTATGCCTTTAGGAACCGAGTGGTTATCATCTCTAATTATCTGAAATCAATTCGTACGAGAGTACATCACACTTCTCGACGACAAACTGTACAAAACCAATATTTCTACGTAGGAACAATATTATTTTTCTTCTTTTTACATGTCACATCGTCTTGCGATTAATATTTACGATGTGTGAACTTGTCTACAAGAACATGCTGTTATCATGTTCGTCGGTAAAACACGAATGTTCGATGTAATAATATTTTCATTTTGTGTGTTTGTTCATAGATACCAACTGCTTCTTGAGTGCGACCGGAACAAAGTTTCGGAAAGTTGTAAACGATCAAACGACCACTGTTAGGTATATTAGTCAAATGGCGCTGCCGAGCCGAGCGCGAGTTTATGCCGATGTTAATTCTCATAAACCTAGAGAATACTGGGATTATGAATCGTACACTGTTGAGTGGGGGTAAGTGTATTCTGTGTTTTCTTCAGTGCAAAAATACACTCTTTACTTACTATTCATGTTAAATAGTAAAACCGGTTTTAACTGTTAAATTTATTACTCGTGTTAAGTTGTATTTGAGTTTCAATTTATTATTTAGGCAACAAGATGATTACCAGTTAGTAAGAAAACTTGGTAGAGGCAAGTACAGTGAAGTTTTTGAAGCAATTGACGTAACCAATAGTGAAAAATGTGTTGTGAAAATATTAAAGGTATGAAGTACAATTTTTGCTTTGAATATAATTGATGAGGTAATTCGTCTGTGTTAATTTAATCTTGCAGCCAGTAAAGAAAAAGAAAATCAAAAGAGAGATAAAAATTCTTGAAAACTTGAGAGGAGGTACCAATATTATATCGCTGCAAGCAGTGGTTAAAGATCCTGTATCTCGAACACCTGCTCTTATTTTTGAGCATGTTAATAACATGGATTTTAAACAACTTTACCAGACTTTGAATGACTATGATATTAGATTTTATCTCTACGAGTTGCTCAAGGTATGTTACTAATCAATTTACTTTTTATGGAAGGTTTAACTAATAGAAAGTGACCCATTAAAGTTTTAAAAAATAGTAGTTTATTATTTATTAAAAAAAAAAGCAATCTGAAAAATAAACATTATCAGATAAGCATTGATTTAAACTATAAATTACTCATGCTGAGTTTTCTTTTATGAATTATATCTACTGTATTATAACAGAAATTAAAGATTGAAGATGATGGGGGAAAATACAGAGTTATTGCTTGCTAAATTTAGAAAACATTTCAAGTGTATTATGCTAAACATTAATTTATATGTACCTTATCTTTAAAAAAAAAAGTTATACTATAATTTTTTATTGTTTTACAATGATACTGCTAAAGTTATTGCTGTGAGTAGTACAACTGTTATTATACTTAAATTTAATTAATATGGAAGAAACTTTCGACTCGCTCCCCTCTTTTAATCTAAGCTGAACCTAATGGAGACTTCTATATTGCAAACAAAGTAAAACTGTATACACCAATTGCATCTAATGATGATGATGATTTTGTAATACCCGATGTTAAATAAATGTTACCAGATATATTGTTCAATATTTTATTATGATATTCAATTGGAGATAATTAATATACTTCTAATGTCATGTTTTAATATTATTATTTTTTTTTTAATCTAGGCATTAGATTATTGTCATAGTATGGGCATCATGCACCGTGATGTAAAGCCTCACAATGTCATGATTGACCACGAAAACAGAAAATTGCGCCTTATTGATTGGGGTTTAGCAGAGTTTTATCATCCTGGTCAAGAATACAATGTCCGAGTAGCTTCCAGATATTTTAAGGGTCCCGAATTACTCGCTGATTATCAGGTATCTATAATATGTATAACTACAAATTAGTTTTCGTAAAATACAAAATGAATGGTTATAATCTTATAATTAGGGTTTATGCTTTAGATATTAAAATATGAATTATTCACCTAACATTTTAAAAAAAACGTCTATACCTAGGTAATTATGTATACAATGTAATAGTATTATATTACAAAATATACTTATTATATCGTACCAAATTATATATTAAGAACCTTAAATTTTTAATATGTACAGAATACTATTAATTTTTTTTATATTTTTATTTATTGTTATTTAACACTTTGTGACGTTAAATACATTTAGTGAATATTAGTTTATTATTATGGCTTATAGAGAGATTCACTCTATGAAAAATTGTTCTATCTGGCTAGAGTTTAATATATTGTAATTAATAGAACTAGTGGATATAATATTTTTTATGAACTAAAAAAAAGTTCAATAATCTCATGTTTTATATTAAATTATTATTATTCCTAGATGTATGATTACTCATTGGATATGTGGTCACTGGGTTGCATGTTAGCCAGTATGATTTTCCGAAAAGAACCGTTCTTCCACGGTCATGACAATTACGATCAACTTGTACGTATTGCTAAGGTTCTTGGAACAGAAGAACTTTTTGAATATTTAGATAAGTATCATGTGGAACTGGATCCAAGGTTTTCAGATATTTTGGGAAGGTAACATATGCAATATTAAACGCTTTATCTTTTGTGCATTTTTATGAGAAATTTTGTATTTAAATAACTAATGATGTTTGTTTTGTCTATTAGACATTCAAGAAAGCGATGGGAACGTTTTGTGCATAGTGAAAACCAACATCTTGTCACTCCAGAGGCTTTGGATTTCTTAGATAAACTTTTACGTTACGATCATTTTGAGCGGTTGACTGCCAGAGAAGCGATGGATCATCCATATTTCTGTAAGTTTTTATATGTTAATGTTTGAGAGTGTTTTTGTAATTTTTTCTTAATGGGAATGAAGAAAACTGTTACGTTGATGTTTTTGTTATTTTTGAAACTTTGGAATTCTAACTTTGGGGTTATTGAGTCTCATTGTTTCAAGATAAACGAACACTAATGATTTTTGTATAAAGTTTTCAAGCTGACCTATATTAAACATTTTTTTTAATTATAAATATTTGTATGGTATACAAAGATACTAAAATAAGAAGAGTTTTTTTATTGCTTTAAATTTAATTATAATATAATATATTTTAGTCATCATCATTCATCATGAGTTTAATGGGCCATGAAGGCCCTACATTTTTATCATGGGATGGTTTCTTGACAAATTTGACATTTTGGACTAGTTATCTGTCTGTCACCAGAAAGGGGGTATGGTGGCCCTTTTTTACCAGATGATTTCTCGTCTGGCAAACGGAGCGCTTGAGACCGAGTGTCGAACCAGTAAGATTAGTGCCAAACACGCTTGACCACTCCTCTTGATATATTTGAATAGTTAATGTAATTCATTTGCTATGAGGATAATTATTAAAAAAATATTAGTTGATAACGTTAGACACAATTAATTATAATTTTAGTAAGTTTATACATTTTTTTTATATCCTTTTTTTAATAGTTAATGATTTTTATTTCAGATCCTGTAGTAAAAGAACAGTCACGAATTAACTTGGGCGCGTCATCAGTATCTCCAACACCAATTACAGGTACTTCAGCTGTTTTAACATATGCCTAACACTCATAACAGTTTCATACAAATAACATACCTCAAATTACTTATTAATGTTCACATATTATATGTTTATAAATATCCCTCTAAATAAAACAGTGTTGTATCTTTCTTAATGTATAAAATGTTGATTATAATATATAATTACCAATTCAATGGCCCAATAATAACAATAATAGTAATAAATATATTTTTACCGAAAATAAAAAGCCCGTTGATTAGCAGCAATACATAGTTATATTGTGTAAAATTACTCGAAAAAGAAACTGTCGGATCACGTGAAAAGATTTTACACTTAAACTTTTTGGTAGAATATTTTCAACTGAAATCATCCTTAATTTATTGATGTTAAAGAATTGTGAGAAACTGTTAAACCTGTGTCACGTTTATTCGTTATAAGTGTTAATTATAAATGAGACTGTAAGTATTTCCTTATTAACTTTTATATTTAATACTATAAATAAACTCTGATAAAAATGTATTACATTTTATTTTATATTAAACTCTTGAAAGTACAAAAACATTCTAAGGTATTATCATACGTGTAATAGCAGAGCAGTTGTTTCAACGTTAATTATTGAAGCAGTAGTTTGATAACTCCTGGCATTATTTAAAAAAAAAAATCAATACATAGTATACTTATAAAAATATGATGTCTACAATGTGTGTTCAATGTGAAGATTTTAATTTCTGTATAAACATTCCATTATGATGAGTTTTGTTAGTGTAATCTTATCTTTAACTGTTAAATAAAAAAAAACCTTATTTGTATATTTTCATGGGCATTTTTCTGGTGAAAAATACATTTATTTCACTTGCGAACTTTATTGCTAAAATTTGATGTAATTTGAAATAACATGTATAGAAATATATCCCAAGTATAATAATATTATACTTGGGTATATATTATAGTATATGCTATTACAACAATAGTAATGAATTCATTTGTCAACTTTGACTTTTGAACATACTCATAATTACATAACTGGTGATCTATAGAATAATTTTGCACCCTAATTAAATTTGGCTATTTATTCAATTTAAGAAGTAAAAATAATTCTATGCTCTGCATAATGACGTTAAGCTAAAAAGTAAATTAAAAATATTTCATTTCAAACAATCTGTATTTAATACCTGTGTCAATTGTTATGGGAAAATATGAATTTATATATGATGATCAGAAACACTTAATATATTTTTTTTTTAAGTTATAAATGTTGGACATTGATAGCATAACCTCAGGCTATTATAACATCTGGTGGCAACGAGGCTCACTGCTTAAAATGTTTAGGGGCCTTCATGGTATTATAATTATCAAAAAAATGCATCTAATAATCAAAGTTTTAGCCATGCAAGGTTTGGGATTTATTTTTTTTTATGTTCCTATATCTTGTGGAGGGAATGAGAAAGTTTCCAACAAAAATATTTTTAAGCCTTTCTTGCATTAAGCATCAAAAATTAAGTATTTTTCTTTTTAACGATTCTGCAAACATAAAATGTTCTTTTAGGTAAAAAAAAAAAAATTATTCAATTTAGTCCAATAGTATTAGGGAAAATGTTCCTTATAAATTTCCAGTTACGCATGCAAAATGTCCTCGGTGCCTTGATAATGTCCCTTCATTAAATAAACAGTTTTGTGATAGAGTATGTTTAGTTTTACTGTGTGATAGAACCATAATAATAAATGAAGATCGTGTTAAACACATACCCACTGACAAAAAACGATATGAGTATACAAATTTTGTTTAAAAAATTATTTACATTTTATTGTCTTTCTGGATGAACAAAGTTAAGCATACATACCTATTGATACAGTTACTATTGGTAGATGGTTTATGTTAAATTTAACAAACAATTCAACAAGTTTTTAATAACTATTATGGATAATGGTAAAAACTTACAATTATGAAATTTGTGTACAATGTCAGGTTCAGTAATAATTATTATATAATAGTATTATAATTCACCATTTAATATTTTACTATACAGTTATAGTTTTTTTTTAAATATTTGTAACATTGATGATTGTTGTATAGTTTAACTAAGTTTGATTAGAGGTGTAAACGTTTTTGTTAAATTTGATAAATATGTTCATTAAAAACAATTATTTGTTAATAACTAGGAATAAAAAAAATATAATTAAATAAACATATATAAATAAATTGAGCATCTGCAACAATTTTTTTTATTAACCTATTAACGCCCTTAACTGTTTTTTTATGTGATTTTTGAGTCCCGAAAGGGACCACCAGGCGTTAATGGATTAAGTATATTGTGTATTTTAAAAATTTGTTTGTCTATTAAGTTCTCGTTTTAAATTTTAAAAGATTTTTCCCATACTAGCCTTTTAAATACTAAACAACGAGTCATAAATTTAGTTGGGTAAATTATACATTGAATTACAATTTAAAACTCTAGATATATACTATTTGGGAAATATTTATTTGTAATAAAAGTTATTGAAAAAATGTAAGTGCTTTCATAATAACTAGTGTCAATTATTTATGGCATAATAATCATAATAATCAACTTTATGCTGTTATGGATAATATGTATATAATAACTATATTGTGTATGTTGTAAAATATATTAGTAAATATTATTTATTTTAGCAGGCGGAAATGGCATAACTTCACCGAATGCTGTTGGTGTTCTCCAGTGAGAGTTCCTCAATGAGACATTGCTGCTTTTTTTGCTTTTGGACAAAATTAATTAAAAATATATATATTTAATTAAAAAATAGAAATCAACACCTTTATCTCAGGAATATCACACTCAAAAAAAAAAAAAAAACAATTTTGTTTTATTTTTTATTTTTTACTTGTATTATTTCTATTAAAAAAAAAGGTTATTATTTAATGTTTAGGTCTTTTGTGTATAAATTGATAATATTTTTCTTACTAAAACCGTGAAGAATACTAAATGTTTCTTGTACATAGTACTCTTACCTCCATTCCCCCATCTCCCAAAAAAAAAAAAAATCAACCATACAAATTAAAATAATGACGGGAATTCGAATTTTTTTTTTGATTATGTATAAATTTGGCAGAGATTAACAATTCGAAATGATTAAGTCAACCATTTCTCCTGCTCTTCTATGTAATTTATTTATATAACACTATGTGTTTGTTGCCTTGTTACATTAAAAATATATACATTACAAATTTATATATTTTACAAATGAATAATGTAAATAATTATGATTATAACAATAAATTACGTTTAAAAAAAGATAAAAGAAAGGATTACAAATCAAATACCTTTAGTTTTTTTTTTTTTTAAGTAGTTAAACAAAATGTTTTATACTCATATTTAATATGTATATTGTTAAAAGAAAAATTATGAGTAATATCGAAAATTGATTTAAGAACTGCTAACAAGATCTTTAATATTATTTCAGTGTCGGTATGAACTATGTAGCTTTTTGTCGCCTCCGATAAATTGAAATCGAAATTTTTCTGTTCTGTTTAATAGGTTATTACCATTATTAATATTATTATTATTATTACTTTTATTATCTTTTTGTTATTTTTAAAAGTAAAATTGTATAAAATAGTTTTACGTGTAATAGCACGTGAATATATGTATACATTATTTATATTTATTTTTTTGACATCCTGCATTGAAGGGAGTAATCATCATGAAACAGTGATTTAATATTCTGGATGTTTTAAAATACAATAATATTACATGGTGGTGCATTACATTAGAATATTTTTTATTTAACATTTTCTTTATTTACAATCTATACAAAATATGTATAATCAGCAAGTCAGCAAGACACAGTGACAATAATATAAGAATAGGAAGGCTCTAGGCGGTGTCACCTGACCGGAATAAACATACTGGAATATATAACATTTATCTAATGAATGTATATTATCATTAATCAATTATTTATTTGACTGCTATGGACTGCTAAGTACCTACACTGTTTACCTATCTAGTAAAATTAAATACTACATATTATAATCTAGCTTATAAGTTGTGAAAATCAATCGCGCATCCTTCCAAGTCGCATTTTGCATTCCGACAAAAAATTGTTGCTTGTAAATTAAATAGTAAATACTTTTACTATAAAATTGTAAAGCTGGTGTATAAAACTCGTGGCTGTGCTGAAAATGGAACATTGAAAGAAGAAGAACTCAACTTCTTAAACTCTTCCTATCAATGGTAACTATACTCTATGCCATAATATAAAAGCAGTAACCCCGTAACTTCCCTGAATTCTATTTAGACTCTACACACATGGTAATTTTAGTTGTCACTTAAAAAAAAAGTGTCAAGGGAAAACGGTTTATTCATTATTGTCAAACAGTAATAGTAAGTTTTTCACAGTCCAAGACTTCAGCTAAACAGTTTAGTACAGAAACCTAACTAATCTGTAATCGTAACTAATATAATATACAGGGTCCGGCAAAAAAACCTCCCTTATTTAGAAATGGCACTGTGTGAGTTGTGGTGGTGGTAAAACGGCGGAGGGGGTATCGATCGATACCCCCTCCACCGTTGTACCATCACCACAACTCACACAGTGCCATTTCTAAATAAGGGAGGTTTTTTTGCCGGACCCTGTATCTGGTTTTAACATTTTACACCACACATTCTACTTTTTAAGGGGTTAGACCGTACACAGACCATTTGTCCCATACTATAATTAGCAAGTTCGTACGATATGTGGTTATCCACCTATGTACTACAGAGAAGGCAAGTGACTATACACTGGGTTCAATGTGAACTTTTAGTTTTTCTTAAAGTTATAAATAAAAAAAAAATAATCATAATGAAGAATCCAGAATGCTTATGTAAAATGTTATTAATTTAACACGTTATACACGTGAATCATAAAAGTTGACAGTTATTCTTGTCAGGTAAAAACTGCCAAACATCTGTAGAAGATTTCAAAGTTACACTATTGTGGTGTTTAGGAGCGTCTTTAGGGCCATGCTGCTAAGGGAAGGAACAAAAACAAATAATGTATGTAGGAGCATACATAGAGTATGCCCAGAGTACATGTCGGAAGTGCATTTATTATATCTACATACCTATATAATATAATATACACAGGTATAATAAACATTTGTAAGTCTTGGTTACAATTTTTAGATTTTAATACGTATAACGAAAAAAAACCACTTTGTATGAGTGAGGGGTGTTAAAAAAATTCTCAATTAGGTACCTAATTAATTATGATATAGGGGGTACCTATACTTACTTAATGCTTAAAAAATAATCTGTTTAATAATATATTTCTTATATTAATTATTTCTGAAGTTTATAAGCTAAATATTGGTTTTAAAATTAATTTTTAAGAGGACGCCACTCCGCCCATTTTTAAGGAGTAAAGTATAGGCAATTTTTTACAAAATCTTAACTTTAAGGTTAAGCTGTGATGTGTAACTACGAGTTCAGTAGTTGGGACTCATTTTTAGTAGTTAAATTATTTTTCGGACTATCACAGCATCCTTGACAGCGATTTAAAAAAAAATTGTCTGTTGTGTTGAGTTTTACGCGGATTAGTTTTTCTCAGGCTTCATATATAGTTAAGAAATGAAATAGGTACATATTATATAAGACAAAATTATTTGTGCTCCAGCATCCGTATTTTTTTTCGATATTCCTAATACAACCGAAGCTATATCATTTTTAAAAAAGTCAAAAAAGGCCTTTCTTAATTAATTAATTATTCATTAACTGGTTGAATTATTTAAAAAAAAAAGGGCTATGGTAGAGCACAGACAATGTTGTTGTCTATATTATGTGAACATTTGGTTTCTTAGTTTAGATCACAGCAATTATTTTTATCACGTTAGAGCCCATTGAAACTGATATGATTCATAATTCGATAATTAAAAAAAAAAAAAAATGTTATTACAAAATAGCGTAAGAAGAATTTTTAAGTATCATATTTCAGCTTAATATATATATATATTTTTTAATTATGAACATTTTGATTAGTTTTCTAGTTAGAATTGTTTAAATTAATCATTAAAATGTCCCTTGTGAGTTGTGTTAATCAAAGAGAAAAATACAAATTGATGTAAAGTACTCTACTGTGAAGAGTTGAGCTAGGGATCTGAAATTTTGGGGATTTCTTGTTTAAATAGACTACAATCAATTTGGGGGGGGGAGGGGGTAAACCTTAGGAAAAACCAAAAATAAAACCAGTACGGTGGATCAAGGCCTAGTGGGGGGAACGGAGCTCATCCGGGCGGAAAAATACAGGAAACTCCCAAAAACTGTACAATAAGAATTAATAGGAAGTGTGATAGCTACCTATAATTGATAAATAATATTGAATAATAAATACCGTTGTCAAGTGTGCACGAAGCTTTTGTTTTTTTTTTTAATTAAACATTTTGATAAGCAGAGGTTTTAATATATAATATAAACACGAAAAATTAGAAGGTACTTGTTTTAAAATTGGAATGCTAATACCCTCTAAGCCTATGACTATTAAATGTACACGTACCACTTGGTCCCTAGTACGCGATTGACAATTCTAATATGACAAATATTTGTTTATCAACTAACAGTCCATAACTAAAAATTGATATGAATTGATTTGACTGAAACCATGGTTATAACTTATAACTAATACATTTTATAAAGTGTTGTTACTTGTTAAATTTTTTTAGATATGTTAATAGTTTATAAATGATTTAAAATTATCAGAATAGTCAGTAGATACATTTTATAAAATGTTATTAAGTTAAATCGATTAAGAAAAGCTCTCATATAATTAATTAGTATTATGAAAGGTTCTCATACTATCTTGTCATTTGTATTGTATAATTTAAAATAATTTTTATTTTATAGATAGTAATAGTTTATAAACAGTTTAAAATTATAATAAATATATATTATAATTTGTTATGAAATAAAATTGTTTTTGAAAAGTACATATTGTTGTACGTCTTTAATCTTTATAGGTAGCTTATACTTAATTTAATCTATTTAGCATTTAGTTTATTCAATAATACGAAAATCTTATTATTAACTATTAAGTATATTTTAATATTTTTTTATCATTCTATCGGTATTCATATTATTTTTTAACAATCTACTCATGATATATTTTGTCATGATGTTAGGTATCAATATTTTGTTAAATATTCTACACCGAATAACACCAATTATTCTGCTACGAATAATGCCGAATATTCGGCCCCGGATACCGAATAATATTAATTTATAAAACATAGGGTATTTTTAGGTGTTGAAAACAAAATATTCGGTATTAGTTTTTTTCAATTTAAGAAGTTCAGCAGCACATCACTAGTAGTTCTGACGTATGCGCGGTATGACACGGTGAGATCACTCTGTCTTGGTCGTTTTGTGGCCTGTGGGTCTTTGGGTTCGCGGCTGTATATAGTCTTGTAATGTTCAATTTCTGAGCATAGATACCGCGGTGTAGTAAGCAGTCGGGACGTTGTCGTCGCAATTGTATTGTTTGACAGGCGCCGATGAGAGGTGGCGAAACGAGGGCGGTCGTTCGCAGCAGGATAAACAAATTTGGATCCTGTAAATGGACCGTCGTTGACGGCTGTCGAAAACACTACCGAAGACCGGACGCCGTCACGTGGCCTTTGCCAAACTGGCGTGTGCCAAGTCTAACCGTATCTGTTATTGTTATTTTACCGGCATTGTCTGTGTGTTTTTATGTTTTTGAACGTCACGACAATGGAGATTTGTCTCCCAGCAAGCCATAAAATGCGTCTCGATACGATCCTGGCGTATCCCTGTAAAAATTGTGCGAATTTTCTTCTTTTAAAATGTTTACAATTAAACGCTCTCCGCGGAAAAAATAGAACTCGATTAAACAAAAAAGCCAACAAAGTGTGGCGTCAGCGAGGTCATCGGTCTTCACTTTTCAAGAATTATTCTAGCTGATAGTGAATCACTTAAAAAATGCTACCATGTTAAACAATCCGAGTTAAAATACTTATCATTATACTTTATCGTTTATAAAACATGTATTCGCTATTTAATATTCATAACATACCTACACAGATGTAAAAATTAGTATAGTGTGTAGAATCATGACCACAGGATCAGTGGCGTGGTGAAGTGTTTAAATTCTTCAGGCAAACATATTTCATGAAGAACCTCCCCCCCAGCCATAATTATTAACTGTGTTATTTATCCAATCTTTTTTCTAATTGCATTTAGTTTCTTTAACACTCGTTAAATTAAATTCACTCATTAAATTTTACTGATAAAAATAATAAGATGTATGATGACCAGATGGACCACCCACCTCTAAAAAAATCGGGCATCCGCCCCTAAAAGTCACGGTCACCACGCCACTGCACATGATAATATATTGAATTTCCACACCATCATTAGGATACTGTATAGTCAAATAATACCAAGAGGCATAGGTTGTGGCGCAGTGGTCATGTTGACACTGAGCACCTGAGGTTAAGCGCTTTGGTGTCCGTTGCCGCTTGGTACCTACAAATTAAATTTGTTGTGAGTTGTATTTTTAAATAGTAAAATGAAAATAAATTTCTATTTTATCACCGTCGTGCAAAAGTTGTCTATACATGTATGTGAAATTGTCGATTTTTAGATAACAGACATTACAGTCTACATTTGTAATAATTTTAATTTTCATTCGTTCACTTAGTCACTTTGTCACTTTTTACACGACGGGAATAATTTTTTAAAACTATATATATATGACTATGAGGAGGAG